ATATATATATATATATATATATATGTCTTTATATACATATGCACACACTTATATAAAACTATGTATATATAGTTTTATGTGATACCATAGAGAAGATTCCATTGAATACATGTTTCAGGTAACAGTAAAAGATTGTGGGTAAGAATTTACATTTTATAAAAGTAGTATTCATCCACTTTCAGTTTTTCTTTTGCAAATAAAATTAAAGGAAGTGTTTACCCCACGCTCCCCACTTAACAATTTCATTTTATATATACAAAAAGCAGTGGATTTAAGGCCTTGATGTTTTTCCTGGCCTTGTGTATTCAGGTTTCCAGTCTCCCAGTGCCCTTAATGGATGTTACAAATGCGTAAACGCATTTTCTTTTAAAGAAAAAAGTTAGATTTATAGTGTTATTTCTTACTTGCTCTATTTCTTTGCACTATAAAAGAGCTATGTGTTTGTTTTATATGACACTTTAGATACCATATTGCCTAAAATAACTCAGTTTGCTCCATAATTTCCAAAGTCTAGGAAGTTGATAAATAACTTCCATGATCATTTATGGAGGTTACATACACATTCTCCCCCCAAAAATCACAAATCCCTGTGAGTGGGTTCTGTTTTGGGCGTGCTCCCTTGCAATATTCTCCTGTGTTCTGTAGGTGAAACAAAGAGTCACAGAGGTTGTCAGAAAAGAAATGCTAAATAAATACATCTCTGCATGGTACAGTTTCTCACACTCATGCGTTCCATGTAGACAGTATTGTTTCCCTTCAGAGGAGGCTGTTGTAACTCTTGCTGTCAGTCATATGTGATCTCCGTTTGTTTCTTTTTGTGAAGTACAGTCCTGCTCTGAATTGTGCTTTAGAATGTGTACCTTGTACTCCCCAGGAATCGTGTTAAGTAATTTTATATGCTGTATACAAGGATGAACAGAGGCCTAAACAATGGGAAACCTTCAGTTAAATAAATTAAGTAGATTTCAGTAATCATCTGCAAGAAGAACTCATAGCATCCAAATCTCTTTTCTCTGAATTTTGTGTAAGTGGTCAAAGTTGACCTTAGAAAATAATGATTAGAAATTCTCCTGAGATACTGAGGACAAGAAGTTGTAAAGTAAAAATCCCGTGTTCCAATTAAAAGATTGGATTGCGTATGCCTTTGAAGTGTTTTTTTCTGGAAACTTAAGCTACAAAACTGGGTGTGCTATGTTATCCTTTTGACTCCACACTGAACAGAAAATACTTTGTTGGTCTTGTATTTGTATATCATGTACTGCAACTTGTAAATATGTGCATGTTGTTTATTACATTTGTCTGCTTGTCTGTTGCACTGAATTCTGCAAGGTGAATAATTTTTTTATACTATTCATTTTGAAAAAGTCCCGACTCCCAACTCTTCCTCGACATTTTCCCTTCTAATTAGTTGTTAAACTTAGAAAACCATTTAGAATTTTTGAAATCTTGAGATTGAATGAAGAATCATGGCTATCTGAGGTCCTCTTCATGTCCCTCTGACTTAAACAGCTAAAGGGAAGCATGAGATCTCCCACCTTATTTCACACAGTTATTCTGTGGAATTGTCATGCTTGCTTATAGCTATCTATCTACACTTTGAACAAGGATAAGAGGAGAAATATATATACTTCATGTTTATATATAAACATATATATATATAGTGTATCTGGTTAAATCTTCCTCTGTAGATAGAGTCTAAGGATTTGCAGTGGTATTTATGATTCCTTCACTCCTGAATTGGCTGGGACTATGAACAGGGACAATTTGAGGACTGTCCAGTGACCTACGTAAATTGAGTTTTGTGTCAAGGGAGACATGTAACTGGCATAATATCCTCTATAGAGAGGTGTACAGATGGCAGATTTAGGATTTAATTAATTTTGTTTCCTTAATGTCAGAATTTAGAAGTACTTTCTGAAGAACTTGGTGAGGCATATGCTAAGGATAATAGAGCTACTTTAGAAATAGAGAAATGTCAGCATAGTAAAGGTTTAATGCAGGCTTTTGAACAGATATGTAAAAATATTCCATCTTACTCTTCTTTTGTTTTTGTGTTTTACCAGCCAAATCATCTTTCAGGAGTTTCATACATAGTAGAGAGTGTTTTTTTCTTTTTTTGGCAATAGACTCTTACAATTGTGAGCTGTTATTATCAGTCTAACTAAATGGACAGTTAGCTGTGTAAATAGCTTCTCATATGACATTTCTACTGATAGCTGTTTGACATTTTCTTCCCATTATGAATGGGAGGATCATTTGTAAACTCCCTTTCTGGGTAGCTACCAAAAAAAAAAACAAAACAAAACTGGCTTATGGTCCTATGTGACCCTGTCTCCGTTAAGTCCAGAATATGAGTGCCTTTAGCAAGTTTTAGTGTTTGACAGAGAAAAAATGATGAATTATTGCCATTAATCACAATTCATAAAATAGGAGCTGTGTGAATTCTGTATTCTACATCTTTTTTTTTTCTTAATGCAATCTCAATTTCACATGAATAAATCTGTTATTATTACTGGTCGGGAATCATACACCCTGAAAATAAATCCAGTTATCCCAGGCTGACAGCAGTCATGGATAATTTTTCACTTTGATCTGTCCTATTATTGAATGATAGCATGGTGGATTGGGAAGAGGATCCCAAACACTGATGTTTGGAAAAACATCAGTGGTCATTTTCAAACGTGTCTATTCTCTAGGGAGGAGAGAATTATGTATTTGCAAACTACATATGTGAAAAGATTGTCTTGCACAATACTTACTGTGTTGGTTTACTTCTACCTTAAAAAAAGGTATCTTCATAAATCCGGCTTGAGGCCTTTTAAAGCAAGAATTTCCCTACTTAAGTTAATTTAAATTTCTAAATTGCCTGAGTACTTTGAGTCTTTAAAACATACTGTGAAATTAATTTTATTGTAGAAACACATTTTCCTTAACATTTTGTTATGAAAAATTTCCAAAATACATCTGAGTTGAGTCAATTTTAGAATATACCCACCACTAGATTCTACCATCAACATTTTTGTACCACCATATATCCGCTCATCCCTCTATTTATTCATCAGTCCATGGGGTTTTTAAAATACACAATTCAATGTAAATTTCAGGCAATATATTTCCTTTAACACATGAGCATAGGTGTCATTAACTAGAGTTTAGTATTTGTTTATAAATGTTTTTTAAAAAGCTGTGCATGAAGTTGATAGCCTCAGCCAAATAGTGTATATTTTTTTCCTCCTATAGACTTAGCCATCTAGTTTCTGTTTTTAAATGTGCTGAGGGTGAGGGAAGACAGCTTTCAAACTGAAGTTTTGTGGTATTGGTCATTCTAAATGCTAATGACCATACCTTTTCAAGTTCACGATTAGAATTTTTTCTTTACCCCTTTTATGATGTATTTTTGCTGAACTATGCAGCTTTAAAAAACTGTAAATTACTGATTGGGGTTTATTAAGTCAGCTTATACCTCATTTTAGAATTTTTTCTTTACCCCTTTTATGATGTATTTTTGCTGAACTATGCAGCTTTAAAAAACTGTAAATTACTGATTGGGGTTTATTAAGTCAGCTTATACCTCATTTCAATCTACTGCTGCTTTTCTCTATGTTATCTTGTCTCCTTTTTCTACTTTCACCTGTTCTGTCAGAAAGGAGGAGGAAAGAGCCAAACCCATAGGTGATTAGCTGTTCTAAGCAACTCTGTGAGAATAGATTAAGTAGTTTGGAAAGTTGAAACCATTAATATATCTAAAGCCTTTGAATTCCCTGAGAATTGTAATTGCCCACATTTCCTCTAGCCATAATTGGCATGATTAAAAATGATTGTACTGTACAATGAGTTATTGAAATATGAGCCTTAGTAACCATATTTAGCTTTAGTACTGTTCAGAAAAAGTTTTTGATATATGCCTTTATTTTTATGCCAATTTTTTTGTGGACAAAATCTGACGAGTATAAGTGACTTGCTGTTGGTCATGAAGATTCAAATGATAAGTCAGAATTGAAACTTCCATATTCCTGATTCATATTCTTATGCTTGTATAATAAGATTCATGGCTTCCATAATAACTGAACACTTCCTTTGGGGCCCTTAAAATGAAAAAAAAAATGTATTTTTACTAATTAGACTTTAATTTTTAGGCATTCCGTGATTCTTTGAACTTAAAAGAGCTGTTTATGGTCATGTCCCTCATTAAGCCAATGCAGTTGCTCAAAATCTCTCTTCACTCTTGAATACTAACTAATAAGCGGGTTTTTTTCAGGTTTCTTTTTGCAGTTAAATGACCTTCATGATTCACTCATAACTCTATGTAAGTGCTTAAGTGACCCCCTCACTAGTGAAAATAAATGTTCTATGTCACTAATTATATGTATATTCTCTACATGATATATTTTTTTAAGGAAAAGTAATCCCATGTGTCAGGATGAATGATATCCTAGGGCAAAGCACATAGCAAAGTTTATTTCTACTCTGCAAATCTGTTATTTATGGGAACAAAGCTCCTCAGAGTGGCTGGTCATCATTTTGCCTTCTTTTGATACTTGAGCACCTTCCTGTGGTTTTGTAAATCAGTGTGTCATTTTGTAAGTCATGTTGATTATGTGTTAATTGGTGTTTGCCTTGTG